GGGTACCTGTGGGCTTTCACACTTGTAAGTGAGTTATAAGCTGGCAGGGAGTCTCAAAACAACAACCTCACTCTCAGGGTCTTAGTTCTACCCTTCCTTTACCAAAGGAAGGAAATAAAGAGAGACCTGGGAATGAGGTTGTTGAAACAAGAGCCTCCCAACTCGCCATTTATTTTCAAATTTCCTATGTTTATCCACAAACACAGCATTCTGACTAGTCAAGAATAACAGGCAAATTACAGGTGTCATTACAGCACTCTTTTTATTTGCCCTAAAAATAAAAGCTGAAAATTACATTTCGAGGCTTCCATAATTTTATTATTAGTTTCAGCTTGGTAATTTGTTAATATGTAATCATGAAATCATGAAATCATTGAACATACCCTTACTAGGTAATGCAAATGCTGAAGTAACATTCGAAACATTAAGTGGGAAGTTAACGGCAAGACAGGAAGGTAGGAATCCTATTTGATGTAAAAGGCTAACTAAAAGTGCACAGTTAGATACTTTGGTTTTCTTAAAGAAGTTCAAACTTGATGATATAAATTGTCCACTGTAGAGAGTTTGTAAAGCTGACATTCCAAGCACTAGCCCCTTGTCAAAGCAAATATCTACAGTAATTTTCTGGTCCATCAAAATAATACTAGAAAGTTGCATTGGGTAATACTAGTGGTATTTATTATTTGCAAGATCTTAAAGTGAAATTGACAAGTCGAATCTAATTGTGCTCTCAATGAATTAGGGTAAGAATGTTGCAGCTGGCAATCATACATTAATTTCCTTTTTTCTTTTTCTGTTACAGGTTCATCAATTTGTTTAAACTTTCCTTTGAACAGCTGTGAACCATTGCCTAAAGTATGTGTTAATTTCATTGTCGGTTTATGTACAGCATAGGGTACCAAATTCACATCTGGCCTTGAATGTTAAAAATTAACATTATTTTAAATTTTGTTTATTTGCCACTAATATGAAAAGTGGGATACTCTGTCTGGGAATTTTTTCATGAAAATTCAAGTTAAAAAATTCCTACCAACCAATATTGTCTATAATTGTGTGTTGACAAAAAATTGTATAGCGTAATATTTATGATTATTGTAGCAGCTGTTTTGTGGGAGAATCAAAACTTGTTCAACTAGTTTGTTCAAAGCATGTTCTCACCTTAAAATCAATTGCTTACATTTCATTTATGTCAGGAAGAAGCAATGAAGAGATTAGTTAAAGCAGGTAAACAACTTTTTCTTCAACAATTTTTACAAGAGACAGGGAGAAGCCCATTTTGGTCTGGGTGTTATACCTCTAAAAGTTAAGTCTTGGAAACTGCTGGTTCTG